TAGGTACTGTACCAATACGGAATTGTGCAAAACTTCCGAATTAAATCGGAATCCTAACTATTATACCGTAGCAATACCGTAACAATACTGGATCCACCCGCTTTTTTGGTACTGTACTATTGATCTTGTGCAGTGAACTCTATCTCACAATGACCCCACCAAAACAAACTTTGTGGCTCAAATAAGGTACTGGGCGTGTTTATATTGAAGTATAATAAGTAGTATATTAGGCCTGTGCACCGTAAAGTACTGTACTCTAGGTACGAAAATCTGGACAGCCGCAAGGAAATATGACAATAGGGTTAGCCCTAGAATTAGGGTTAGGTGAAAGTCATCCGTTGACCTCTGTTCAATACCAAGCTGGCATGACATAAGGCTTTGTGTACCGCATTTATTTAATGGTTTTCTCGTCCCTTATGAGATTATTTCTCTTCAAGGTTCGAGGGGCGCACTAGACAGTTAAATAGGCACTTTAATCAAGTATCCCATAAACCGTTGAAACAATGCTAACGCCTCTTTCACAAGGCCCAGACGTGGCTGGAGCCAATAATATAATAGCTGTGTTGATCTCTTACTCGATTTTGCTGCGGCCTCTTGTTTCACAAGAGAGGTGGTTTATGGATAGCTAGTTCACGTGATGAATCATGAAATATCACTCGTATAACACCTAGCTACTTCGACTTTTTTTTTTTTTTTTTTTCTCATTAATTGTATGCAGATAGCTACTTTGACCTTAACAGTACTACATGTATGGAGCGGTAAATGTGTCAAAAGTAATTTTACCAACAGTAGTAAATTATTTACCACCGGTGGTATAAGCACTGAATTTCAGTCATTGTATCTGCACGCTATCCTACATTAGTACATTTCCACCAGTATAAACACTGAGTTTCGGACTTTATGCTGCGCTATACTAAATAAGTAAATGTTCAATCATTAATGCCAAAACTTATGAAAATTTCCCACCGGTGGTGAAATACTGGTATTATTTTCACCACCGGTGGTGAAGTAATTTACTACCGTTGGTAAAATTACTTTTGACACATTTACCGCCCCATACTACATGTAGTTATAGCTCGATTCAAGTCTTGATTTGAGAAGTTAGTATGTATCAAACGATAATATTTCCTCACTATGAAATATATATACTGATACTGACCATAACTACGATAATGATGCCCGGATCCGCCACTTGAATTGATTAGAATATTGCCATAGGAACTGTGAGATTATTCTCGGACTGTTGTTCCGAAAAAAAAAAAAAAAAAAAAAAAAACTAAATAGTTTCAAAACGCCGATAATTATCTATTCACCAAAACGCTAGATCTCTCCCTATTCCCTGGGGTGTCGAATTCCCGGCATTAACCAACGCATTTTTAATCATGGAAGTAGATCTCCTTAATAAGCGTCTAAAAGATTCCCACGGTCCCCTATGGATGACTAGCTCCCAATTATAGAGCCACGGGATCGAGGGCTATTGACAGACAAGAGCATAGGATCCGGGGAGTGTTGGGGGACGTGATAGATACAAATCCGATATATAACCGAGTAAACCGTTGATATCGATATCACGGACTTGATTTATAATGCCCGCAATACTACAGACACATTTGAGGTTGGGTCAAGTATGAATGTAGGTCGCTTAGGTTCTACACTGCTAACCAAGTCGCCTAAAGTCGGCGGTATGGACTGTTGAACGACTGGCCTTTTAATTCAGCACGAGATCTTTGTAAGACGTGACTTTATGAGCGGAGTGCAGTTTCTATCCATCAACCAAATTGCTCCGCTAGCTGGCTTAAGTAGGGTACCCTGTCCTCCGAGTCCGTGGGGGGTAACAGGCAGTCGAACCGTTCACAAAGACTCTACTAAGTTATGTGGTGAAGAGTCAAGGTCCTTCCCAAGACTCTTCTATATCCTGGTGATTCTGGAGGTATGGGCCCTCTTACAGCTTCCATCAGATCTCTTGGCTTCAGTTCCAGACTTTTCATCATACTGTGCATGGGAGCAAGATGCTCTGCAATTAAACACTCTGCGTGTTCCAATTTCTGATATTCGACAGGACAGCTAAGCCGGCGCCAAGATGCACGGGAATCCCTAGCCCAGTTTGTTGGTCAGTAGATGCCGGTTTCTACGCTTGGAGGGACAGGAAGAAATGGGCTTGGGGGTTCGAGCTTTAGTATTCTTGGACGATCTTAGCGGTAACGCTCTTCTACATATGCATCTCCCGTATGGGAGGGTCATCTTAAGGCCCCTAGAGTTACACTGAGGTCGGGCGTATATACAGTCACCTCGAGCTGTGTACCTGCCGGGCCAATTGTGTGGGAAATACAGTACTCTGTCTATCAGGCTTCGTAAAGCAGTACCCTCTTCGTGAACGGCTCGAAGGCTTACTATATAATCTGCTATACAGCGGGAGACTTAGTGAATTACAAGTGAGAATAGGTATGAATATAGGTAGGATAACTATCAAATGATCGGGCTCGAGGGCCTACCATGAGTTAGATAGTATAGGGGGAGAGCTCAGTTTCTGGCTCCACTAAGTACTTGGTGAATGGAGTAAGTCAAATTCCAACTTGGTAAGCGTGTAAACCTGTTCGATGTTGAGTTGGCTTTGTTAACCGAATTCCCAATTTGCCAGCTGCAGTGGGGCAACTTGGTCATTGGTCAACAGGGCTGATCTGCAGAATCAACAGAACTCTAACTTCATCGGGGAACTTAAGTAGACTTAGCAGATCCGGGAGCTAGCATATTGCATGTATCCCAACCATCAATAACTACACATATATGTACATCGAATATCGAAACATCCAGACCTCTCCGTCTGCAATGACCGGGCCTACTGCGCTATTAAGCATCAATGGGGCCTATTATCTGTAGTGGCAAATGCGCATCTATATGTTTTAACTATACGGCAAGAACGTTACGGGCTTAAATTAAAACTGCTGTCATACCATTCCTGCCGGCTAACACAGGCTTAAGAGAATTAATCCCCTAACTTTACAGTTACCCAGATCATCCTCGGCTACACCATCAAAATCTTCTCCTTCTGAGTATAAGAGTCCTTTTCCACCGCACTTCATTTCGAACGGTAGTTATATCGTGATTGACAGCCATAAACCACGCCCAAGTAGCTACACATGGAGTTTCTGACGATCTGAGAATTCTATGTTCCCTTCCCGACTTGAACGGCTTTGTATTTCTTGGTGGATCATACTAGTGGCACTCGCTGCAGTCATTTAGGACTCCCCCAAGCGTTATGAACAAGGTTCGTGATTTCCTCTTCATCTTTCGAGTCCCTGAAAAGTCTCACGGTGGGTTAATCCTCTTTTGCTTAATAATGTCGTCTATAGAAGGAGAAAAGGATCATAGCACTTGGACCACTCTTATCTCGCCATTTCATGGAGAATCCGGGCCTAATCAACTTAGTAAGTGGATCGGAATGAGAAGGGAGGGAAAGGACAAAAATAAGCCATAAAAAGGAGGTGAGCTTATGATGCACCCGAAAACCTGCGCCCTTCTGGAGGTAATTTCAATAAATTTATTGATATGCTTGGCAACGAATATTAATCATGAATGATCACTCGACTTCCGGCTCTCAATAATGGTTTCCTCTGGAGGTTTCAATACCATTTTGATAGAAATTAACTATCAGTAAATATAAATTAGAGCTTAAATGCATTCAATGCCTTAACAGCTCGCTACCACCCTTCCTCCCCTTTTGTCTAGCTCCCGTGCACGTGGTGCGCTGTGATTGTATGTTTTGGAACGAGGCAAATCGCGCTGATATGGCTAGGCGCAGGAATTGGAATTTGGGATTTTGAATTGGCTTATCAACCATCAACCCTTTATAAGTCGGGGCTTATCTAATTCTCGCTATCAAAGGTCTGATATTTTACCTGTAAAAGATATCATTGACACCGCAAGTCTCGCTATTTAGCACCCTTCGAACTTCGCGCCTTTAGATTACCGGTCACTACCTCTAGCTCTATATAAGGATGGCATGATATCTGCTGGGAGAGGTAGACCGTCGGCCAGAGAACAAAAGGAAATACACCTTTGAATTTTGCAAATTACCAGAGATTCTGATCTTTACAAATATCTTAACGCAAGGTCATCAATACTTCATAAACGAAATGCACCCTCCGATTGCCAAGGCAGTGAGACTTATCATCGTGGATAGGCAGCTTGGTGACTTTCGGTTTTAAGGGTCATGAGACGCTTGCGACAATGCGTAGTATTATAGAGCCCCTATCACGCATTAGAGGTCATAACCGTAAGGGCTATCACGGATGCTATCTCTAGGTCTTTACATATAAATACCGCTCATCAGCTTCACGCCCTTAAAACTAACGTATCTCGGCCTGTATTTCCAGTGATGGTACATATATGCACATACGTATGTGCGAAGCTTGCTACTTGACGTACTTGTATCTACACATATTCATTTTCATGTTGGCTCCCTCCTAGTCTCGGGGTAAATCATCTCTACATACATACTAACTTACATGTAGTCTTTGTGGTAAACTCGACTAATGGAAATGCCTCCTGGTGTGATGAGTAAATTGTAAAAGTCTTGATTTTTGTGACTTATAACCCAGAGCTGTTTTAATCCCTCCTCGCAGAATTTTCGAAATTAAAGTGTCAAATAGGAAGTACTGACAGAGGAGCGATCAAAATAAAGTCATGGTGGCATATTCTTATCGCTATAGATATACAATTTCCCTCTCACCTCTTTTAAACCCCATAGTACTGCTTCCGGGGCAGTCCATAGCCGGTGGTGATGGGCACGAGCCCGGGGTAGAGCTCGAGCTGGCCCGGGTTGTGGAGGCAAAAGCTCGAGCTCCCATGTTTATACCTAAAAATAGACCTTCAAGTAAGTCGACATATAGAATTTCTATTCAGGATGAATAATGGGGGATATATTTCATACAAACCGCCCAGCTGTGTCTTTCTCGAATCGTTACTACAATAATGTTTTACCAGGCTCAAGCTTTTTGGACATGGGCTCGGGCTGGCTCGGGCTCGTCAGTGAGAGCTCGATCTCGAGCTCAAAGCTCGCGCCCGCTCGGCTCGTGCCCATCACCACTAGCCGGTTACCACTCAGCAACACGCCCCTCCTCCTTGAGTCCACTGGTTCTTCCGATTCAAAGGAATTCTGAATCGGGAATACGTCTCTTTCACCGGTTCCCCGTTTCCATTTTGGGGGACGGAGCCCGGCGAAGCTACGGCTGGACCGATCGGTGGTGGGTTAGGGTTTCTTTCTTTTTTTAATTTTGTTATCATTAGGTAGGGTTTAGTAAAGTATTTACATGTAATTGAATTTCGGGGACAAAAACATACTCTTTTTGCAGCTCCGTTAAGTGACAGAAGAAACTCAAGACTTTCTCAGTTGACTGTGACTTATTTCTGCAATCACAGGCAGTTGTCTTTATAACTGGTGGGCCGTGCGCGGGCTTCTAGGTGTACCTACATACACCAGAGGTAATATTATATAATCCTCTACCGGAAATATTACGGCGGCATACCAATGTGATAAATATAGTATATTGACCGTAGTTGTGAAAAATTTAACTTCTGATACCTGTTCCATCCTTCCCCAATCGACCAGCTCCCTCCAGACCAAGCCTTTCAATCTGGCCCAGCACAGCCAGAATACAAGGGCGACTAAACCACCCAAGGCACTAGGCCTATACCCCCCACCCCCCTATGTTTGAGGCTAGCTGCGTGCCAGGTAAGGCTGTTTGAGCGCTTAGACTCAAATATCTACTCGTCCCACATGCTTCAACTCAAAACACTGATTTGGACACAATCCTATGGAACGCCCCCACTTAGCTAACGCTGGACGGGGGTTGGAGTTGTCACATAACGTCAACTGGCATATCATCGATCGAGAATCATTGCAGATCTACAGGGATCCATCTGGCGAGTGACATTATGTGATGCAAATACATAATCGGTTAGAAAAATAAATTGATTTGTTGCTATCACAATGGCCATCATCATCCCTAATATTAGAGTTGTTGTTTGGGTATGCATATCTAAAGCTCACTAACTTCAATCGAGCTACTTGAGGCAAATCGAGTAGAACGGTTGATCAGTTCTGAAACAAGCAAGGGTTGTTTTATCGTTGCAGGGGATCAATCAAAAACCTCAATGAATACACTCATACTTCCAAAAATTAAATATACGAAGTATGCATATATACTTAAAAGGGTCAAGTGGACCTTGAAACGATTAAACCTTTTTGGGCAGCGAAAGTAAACCTCCAGAAGACAATTCATAAAACCCATACATACAGATATAAAGATCGCAAAGAACACCCCCAAAAATACAAAATAACAATAAGGAAGGTAGACTTTTTTTTCGTACACACCCTTTCCCCAGAATACTAGACAAAAGATCCTAACCGAAGTAAAGCAAAATGAAATTTTTGTAAAAAGGAAACAGCGATAAGCCCTCAAAACATAATTTAAACCTTGTAAATCTATTTTAGTTTAGTATTTTGTCTGCCTCTCGTGTTGGGTGAAGATGCCATCAGGGTATCTGGCCTTGAGAGCGGCTTTTCGCATCTTGTCCTTATCGGGATCATAGGCCAAGAACTCGTGAAGGGCTTTGCCGGCAGGCACCATTGGCAGAACGGGCACCTTTTTCTGTAATGTGTTAGAAATTTACTTTGAGGAGAAAATAGTTCGAAGATGAGATGGAACTTACGTCAACAACAACTTCCAACAGCACTGGTCCATCATACTCAAGCAGCTCCTTGATTGCGCCGGGTATTTCCTCAATCTTTGTGGCCCTCATACCCTTAAGCCCCATAGCATCGGCCAACTTGACGAAGTCAGGATTCTTTTGATGGGTCCATGAGTAACGGTCCTCATAGAATAAACTCTGCCACTGTGTGACCATTCCCTGCTCTTCGTTGTTCAAAATAATAATCTTAACACCAACGTTGAACTGAACAGCAGTCGAGAGCTCTGAGAGGGTCATGCTAAAACTGGCATCACCATCGATATCGACAACAATAGCCTCAGGACATGCGACCTTTGCACCAATAGCGGCAGGAAGACCGAATCCCATAGTTCCGAGCCCACCAGAAGTGACCATTGTACGAGGACTTCTCCACCTAAAGTGCTGAGCAGCCCACATCTGATGTTGACCCACACCTGTTGCAATGATGGTCTTCTTGTCAAGTGCCGCAGTCTGCCTGCTCAGTTCCTCGATAACGGATTGGGGCTTGATCATAGATCCGGGGGATTCCTTCTCGTAGGCGAAAGGGAAACGTTTCTTCCAATCATTGATCTGGGTAAACCATTCGGGACGGTCGACAATAGATTCAACGTGGGGCATAAGGAGACTCAGGTTATTTGCAACGTCACCCTCAACGGCCTCGGTGGCTTGGACGACTTTGTTGATGTTCTTGGGCAAGATCTCAAAATGCACAATACCACCACGTCCCTCGGAGGCAGCAATCTTGGCGTTGGGTGCGAATTCTAAAGTCTCCCGTTAGTTTTTCTTCTTTTCTCTGTTCTGATGGGCGGAACTTACTTGCGACGTTACCGGTAACGCGGTCATCGAATCTCGCACCGAGAGCGATAATCAAATCGGCCTCTTGCATAGACAAGTTGGCATAAGGAGATCCGTGCATTCCCAGCATGTGTAGAGACTTGGGGTCAAGCTCATCGAAACCACCCAATCCCTGTAGAGTTGTTGTGACAGGAATCTTTGCCTTCTCTGCGAATGCGGCCAAAATTTCCGGTCCTTCGGGTCGCTCAATAATTCCTGCTCCGGCGTAGATAATTGGCTTTTTTGCCATGTTGACAAGACGTGCGACCCTTTGGATTGAGGCATCCAGACGCCTCTTACTGGCCTCCTTTGCAGCAATAGATGCGGCGGAAGGGTGCGCTGGCAAATCAGAATGCACTGGGATAGCCTTCCGCAAAATACCGGCGGTAACATCTTTGGGAAGATCTACAAGAACGGGCCCAGGACGGCCAGATGTCGCAATCTCAAAAGCTTCATTGATGCGGCGAGGAAGTTCTGCAACGTTCTTGACCATAACATTCCATTTCGTGCAGGCACGGGAGATGCCGATGACATCGGCCTCTTGGAAAGCATCGGTACCAATTGCAGAAGTTGGAACTTGACCACAGAACACAACGAGAGGTGTCCCATCACTAAGAGCGTCCTGTATGGGGGTAATTACGTTGGTTGCTCCAGGTCCAGAAGTCACAAGTACGACTCCGGGTTTTCCTGAGGCCCGTGCATAACCCTCAGCCATATGGCCAGCACCCTGCTCATGGCGGGGCATAATGAAATCAAAATGCGGTGAGTTGTAGATGGCGTCAAACACGGGGAGAATAGCTCCACCGGCGTATCCAACTAAGAATCATGACTGCAGTCAGTAAAAATGGAACAAAACTGCAACAAGATCTACAAAAGCTTGGTTTCACATACAGATATGCTTGACATCATGTCGTAGCATCATCTCGTGGAATATCTCGCCTCCAGACATTCCCACGAAGCTAGATTAATTGGGTCAGCCAAAGTCGCAATTGGACACGACATCTGACATGAACTTACGAATCATCCATTTCAGGCGCCTGCCTGGGTTGTAAAGGATGCAAGTCATGAGCTGCGGGTTGAGAAGCGCTCGGAGGATCTTGGTTGAATGATGGAGACGGCACGGGCCGGTTTCTGCAGGTCCCCCAACGATGAGTCAGAATTCACCCTATCAATTCTTTATGCAGCTTAAGAACAAAGTTTGCGGGGACGCATAAAGAAAAAAAATATGGACAGTGAAAAACACTTACACAGCAGCAGCAGTGGTCGATTGATTCCGTGAGATATCTGTTGTCTTACTTCGCGACAATCCACCCGAACGAGAGTACGGCGATAAAGCAGCAGGGGCTGCAGTTGTCGAAAAGCAGCTCTTGCTGACATTCTGAGGGCGGACAGCTCTGAAAGAAGCTCGGACGGCAGCAGTTCTGAGCATGTTGGGCAATTCGCTGCGTAGGGAAACCCAATTACAAAAAGGGAAACAAAAAGAATGAGCGAATTAACAATTGAGGGGAGTTGGTTGTGGTTGAAAGAATGGAAGGAAGGAGGATCGATTGAACGATGAACGATGAAGGGTGTGGGGGAGAAAAGGTCGATGTCGCCAGAGGAGGAGGCGAGAGAAGTTTTTTTTTACGTTTCACTGGAAGGGTTAGAGTCATACCCCACAACCGGACCCATGGCAACAGTCTAGAATAAACGGCAATAGGAATTGATACACCGAGGTTTAACGGGAAATTAACATTGTGTTCCGCCAATATATTAACTTTTGCCCAGAGAATTGTTACAGTGAAGTTTCAATGCATTGATTAATACATATCCTCATTGCCTGTTAACGCGAGAGAATCTCCCGGTCACATATTCTTATTACACTCAGCATTTGCGTGCATTTAACTTTGGGACAAGAGGCAATTGCCAGGCGCGAGAAGGAAGGAAACAAAGAAAATTGCAAGCCAAAATTAAAAACTGACACATGTAACTGGTGATCTGCTTGCTCTTGTAAGCAAGGGAAAAAAATCAAAACCCTAACCCATACCAAGATTCCAGGGCCGCCCAGACCTCCAGGAAATCCACGACTGGGCCATTAACCGAAGGACCAAGGAATGTCTCAAGCCAGGTCAATCATCAAGAAACAGATTTTTCGTAGTCTCACCTTGCAACGAATCATTGACCTTAGTGCTCTTATTAAGCATTCATTGGAGCCAACTCAAGCCACCGGAGCTCCCTAACTCTGTGCAAGACCTGCCTTTCAATCAAATTACTCTATGTATGTACATGTATATATGTGCTGTTCGGTTCCGCCTTATGTAAAAGCCAGCCGACAGAGATCCCGGGACGCGGCCGGCCCGAATGCATATCCCCCGTGCTTCTGCTGCGTGCAGCGTGGCATGGTCCCCGGAGTCCTCAGAATGGTCCAGTGTGACTGGACTGGTGGACCTTTGCTGGCAGTGGCCGCTGATGCTGCAACGGGCACAGGCAGGGTAACTACAGCAGGCGATAGGTCCGCCAAGCTGTTCACGCCAGCAACCAAGCAACGCCACCTCTATGGGCAAAAATAGACCCCTGACCTCCGTCACTGTATTCATTTCCACTAGGACTGCCAACA